TGCGATATAATAGTAGTGACTTTAGTGACTAAAATTACGGAAATAGTGACCAAATAGTGACTTGTAAATACTAAATAAGTAACCATTTATATGGTAACTTAGAGATTCAAATACGGTTTGATATTGAAATAAATTTTGTCATGGAAATTTCATAAACTCCTCTAATTTAATCGACTCTCACAACGGAATCTTCTGTGAAGAGCATTTGAAGTGATTTGATTAATTTACTTTTACTAACGTTATACATGATGACTAGAAAATAGTAATTCCCATTTGTTATGATCTTGAATTTGATTCTGCGTTCGAAATCTTTAAAATTTTGATATATCTAGGTAGATAGCTTTGATAATTCGCTTAGAACTTTTTACAGAATTTCTTCAGAATGATCTCAAGAATAATTCCCCTTCTCTTAAACTTTGAGGCAAATAAGGTTTAAAAATAATATTATTGCATTCTTGAAATTCTTTGCAGAACAATCAACAAAATTCTTGGAAATATATTATTTTCTCAGTTGGAAATGCATAACATCAAATGTCATGATTAAAGTGGACATTTCATACGATCGATGAAGAGATGAAAGTAAAGAGAGGATAGTTCCGTTATAGTGTGAAATTTGTATACAGAAAGTAGAAAGCGAACAAAGGACAATTTTGAGGAAGGTACGAATCGGGTAGAACATCTCCTTTATTAAGCCCATCCGTTAATGAAGGATGGTGAGGGATGTTTCCCTCTGCCACCGGCAAAAGGAATGATCGCCGATTTGCTCATGTACCTCCGATGTGCGGAAACAGTTCTATCCATTGTTTCACTCTCAAGTCGCCATCTGACGTAAACAACTACCCGATTCGTACCTTCCTCAAAATTGTCCTTTGATCGCTTTCTTCGTTGCATTTACAATTTTCACAGTGTCGTACTATAACGGAACTCATCTATCGTATAAAATCTCCACTTTAAGTCTGATATTTGATGTTAGCATCTCCGACTATGTAAATCGTTAAATTCACGCATGAAGTAATAACACATGATTAGTTAAATTACATTTTTTCGATTTTTTATTGATTCTTCAAGGAACTTCCTGAAGGCTCCTTCCATAAATCCATTTTAAATTTATTCGAATTCTCCTTAGAATTTCCATGCAATTATCCTCAGAAATTTCATAAATTTCTGCTTAGAATAATCTTGGACCTCTCCCCTGCATTCAATTGGAAATTCAATTCGTATTCTCCTTAGAATTCCCATAGTATTTCTTCAGAATTCTCAAAACAAAAATCCATCTGAGAATAACTTTGAAACTCTTTTCATAATTCCTTTGAGATTGAACCCTCAAAATTCGATAATATTGGAATACTTCTCGGAATTTATTTCGAATTCTTTAGAATTCTCTTGGAGGTATCTTCAGAAATCACCCCAGAATTCTTTTAGAACTATCCTATCCGCATCTTTGGAGTTCACGGGATTTTCATGGAATTTTCATCAGAGCTCACTTAAGCAAAATTTCAGAAATAGTTTGAATTCTTATTAGAAGTGGACCTAGAATCCTCATCCAATCATCATAGAAATCTTCTCAGAACTCTCGTTAAAATGCACTCTCAATTATATTGGAATTATTACCAAAATTGTTTCGGAGCTGAATTTTGCGTCTCTTATAATTTAAACAACAGTCAAAAGCGACGCTCGTATGTGTTAAGCCTAGTTTAACTATATAGGTTAACCTGGCTTAAGATTTAAGCGGAGATGAAGAAATCGGTCTTCAGAGCACTTAAATTTACATGAGACTTTCGTAGTCTTTATTCTTCTCTGATATATCTTGGTTTCATCCCTAGAATCCTATACAATTCTCTTTAAATTTACTTTGGATTTATTAAAGTACGTAATCATACTTGAAAGACAATTGAAAATCTATCACAAACAAATACCTTTGGAAAGTTTACAAGATTAACAATTTATTTTCTGGAAAATGAGGTATACTTTCCCAGATTTTTAATCTAAATTGAAGGCATTTCTCAATAGTTTTGCAGTCTGGTCACCCTGGATAAAATTTTCAATTTTTTGACAAATATGTATATTTTGTTAAAACTACTGTAGACTTTCTTAGTGCCAAGTACTAAATTTAAGCATTTTGTTGATATTTTTAAATTTCACTCTATTTCAGTAGTGATGACTATTTTTAGGGAAATAGTGACTTTAGTGCCTTTTTGGTGTAAAAAGTGACTTTTTAGTGACTGGCTTAAAATAGTGACCAAGTCACTAAAAAGTGACCTGCTACCAGCCCTGTGTATAGTGGGTCACAACCCCCTGTTCCATACTGCTCTTCCGGTGGCAAATTTGAACGAATTTGGTTATAATCTGGATTTGTGGGAGAATTTTAAGTTTTGTATGGGAACGAAACGAACCTACTCTTTTGCTTGCCGAAAATTCAAATATTGCTCAAATATCGCCAAATTTCTGAAACATATTGGGAATACTATGCAGAACAACTTTGTCAAAAACTGCAAATTTATTAGACTTCTGAGAATTTTGTTATTATTATATTAATTTGAACCTGTTGCACCAGCAGGGTTGCCAGTATATTTTGTTTTTTAAATTCCCGGTTTTTTGCCGGTTTTACCGGATCAAATCTTTAACAAATTCCGGGTTGTTAATATTCAACAACAAAACGGAAATAAACGCATTTTTAAGAACGTGCTCCAAGGAATTTACTGAAAAGATAAAAAAAAAGTGATTGATTTGAGAAGATTCCCAAGATTCTAAGACTTTAAAATTTTTGTAGAGTCTGAAACTAGAATATTTTTTTTCAAAATTTGTGCTTGATAACAATCTGCGTGATGCAAGATTTGGAGAAAAAATAATTAAAATGTGAGATTTTGAAAAAAAAAATCAAGATCACAGATTTGCGACTTAGAAGCATTTTAAGGGTTATATCAAATTACAGAGCAATCTATAGAATCTAGCGGACAAACCCTAGATTTTTTAGTAAAATTTAAAAGAATTCAAAGTGTTGATTTCAAACAAATATTGAGAAGGATTCCCACACAGTTTTCGAAGGACAAGTTTTGAGCAGAGTTCCAGAATTATTCTGACGTGAAACCTTAGAAATTGTTAGATGAATTTGGAGGGATTTCTGTGGACAAGAATGCATGTTCTAAATAAAAAATTTAGGTAATTTTCGAAGATTTGAAGTTGTGAAAAACAAAACTTTGCGGAAAATTCCTACGAGATTCTGATAAGATTTGTATGGGGATCATGAGGAAAATGACAGATGAATTTTAAGAAGAATTGCAAGAGAATTATGATCAGAATTTAACAAGAAACAGAGTACTAAGAGTGTTCTGGCAATAATTTTAACACTTGTGCGAAAAACATTCATCACAGAACTCCAACAAAATTGATAATGAGAAAAAAATTCTTTAAAATACTCCAAGGGGTTTCTAAATAAAATTTCGAAAGATTTCTGCTGTTTTGATTAAAGTTAAAAGAAATGTTTGAAAAGATTTTCGAAGGAAACAAAGTCTCCGGATGGGCTCAGGGGAATTCTAAGAAGGATTCCAATTAAATTCTTAGAAGGGGTTGCAAGGAAATTTCAAAATGAATTAAACGGTAATTTTTACGCGGAGTGTTTTCTGGTTTATTTCAGAACAGGATTCGAAGTTAATCCTGGAATTCATATCAGGAGAATTTTGAACAACGAAAAATTAAAGCCCCGGAAAAGTATAATTCAGTATAATGCCAAACTCAAAATTCTGAGTAAAAAGGGTTTTAAATATTTTAAGTCATAAATCAATTAAATCTCGAAAATATCGCATGTAAAGCTATAATAATCAATAGAAGTGCAATTGGAAACCATTTCATTGTGATTAAAATTAAAAAAAAAATCTATTAGATATTAAACAATACTTTATTTTTATATGGCATTTTAGCCATTTTGATTTTCCAATCGACAATCCTCACCTTCTGTTTAACAGCAATCTTTTACCACACGATCAAGGATACAGATCATACCTACCCCGTGATACTGGCGATTTGACATGGTTGGCATAATAGCCATTTCTTCGATTATGGGCAGCTATGAATTCAACAAATTTGAAATGCTGTTAAAAAGCAATTTCCGTACTTTGCTCATCTAAATTTCCTTGTAAAAAATGGAACAAGTTGTAAAAGGTTAATCGGAAAAATAATTATAAATTCAAATGCATCTCAGCCGTCCACAGAATTCATTGCTGCCAACAACCTTTCCGTATCTTTCATTTCATTTGTTATTCATTCGGTTGTTTTACGAGACGAGCAAAAACAATAAAAAACATATTGTTGCCACTGGTTCACAGTATTTTACAGGACCTCAGAAAATAGCACCTCAAGAACCAAAAGCAAGTGCAAAAGAAACAGTAAATGGGAAAAAATACACTTTAAACAGGTAAGTTCACCATCGTCGTGCCAAGTTGCACTGATTCGGTATGCCACCACCACCGCCGCAAGCACACAATTTGCGCATTTGAATAAAATTCATTTTATTATTCTCATTTTCGAATAACAGTAAAATCAATGACAGTTGGTGCGCGCAGCAGTGCAGTGGGGTAAATAAATTTAGCGCAAGCGGTGAACGGTACAAAATGCGAAGAATGGCAAGTTATTTTTCAAAACGGTTCGATCGGTTAGTGCAGCGGTGATTTTTTTTTTTTACTTTCGTTATTCCGTCACTTTGGATCGGGCTTTGACAAAGAGACATGACCGGTCGCCGGACACGCCGACCGGAGCATGTGCTGGTTGTGTTTTCGTATCTGATTGACGAGTTTGCAATGCAAAGCCGTTGAAATATTAGATCTAGCCATTGGCAAATGCAAATGGAAATGCGAATGTTGTTATCATTGTTGATGGATTTTTTAAATAAATGGAAGCATTTAAGATCACATCAATATTCATAATTGTATGCATTTCGTGGTAGAATAGAGGTGCATCAAGTGGTATGACAAGAACAGTGGATTTTATAGAATGTAACTACTTACTTTATATGGCCGCAGACTTCAGTGTTCAGCGGATTAAAGTTTTCCACCTTGCAAATATATTCCGTGAATCTGAAAATAAACAAAACAAATCGTTTAAGAATCATTTGAAAATAAACAAAACATAATCGTTTGAAACTTAGGTTTTTGATCGACGGTGTAGGTATTTGAAACTTGATGACGTCAATTTAGATAAAATCTTTTGAATCAATGCATCAATACAGATAGGACCTGACCTCACCTCACCTCACCTCTGTGACACTGGAAATAATCCAACGATAGTGATTTAAAAATTTTAAACGTTTACCTTTTCTGCGCCGTTTATTTGAATGATTTTGATTTAAATTGATTAACAGCAACTTTTCTAGATGAAAGCCTAAAAGTATACAGTCTTCAACATTATTACTCAAAATTTTATAAGCCACAATTATCAGCGATACCAGGTTTATTAAGAAAAAATCTTCACATTCTAGTTAAACATCAAAAAAACGTGTATATCGGTTCCGTAAAGCTAAAACAATTGAGCCAACCAAATAAATTAATTGAAAAAGAAATGTCTTCTCATGTCTTCCGCGCTACTTTAAAAATTTGCGGGGGGGAAAGGTGTTCAATATTTTGGATTTGTAAAACTTAGTCTACTGAATTACAGAAGTTCGGGAAGCTTCTTAGAAATCAAGGGCAATTCGTAGAAGTTAAAAGAACATCAGACTAAGAAGATCAGGGAGCTTCGTTAAAGTTCATGGAACGTTGTTAAAAAAAACTTCGTAGATGTTCCGGAAGCTGTGTTTTAGGACGTCAGCTATCATAGAAAAAGCCCAGCGATCTTGTTAGAAGATCAGTAAACTTCGTAGAACTTCATAGAAGTGCAGAGATTTTTTTAGAACTTAGAACTTCAGCAAATTTTGTACAATTTCAGAAAACTTCAGTTTCGTATAAATCAAGCGAGTGTTAGACAAATTCCACGAGTTTTGCAGGAACTCGGAAAACTGCGATGAAGTTCAGGGATTTTTCGTAAACTAGGTTCAAACCTCTCGGGAAACTTCGTAACAGTGAAAGCTTTGTACAAATGTGGAGAACTTCGTTGAAGTTAACTTTGTTACATACTTAGTTATCTTTATTAGAAAGACTTTCAGTCGTTGGGTGGTTCATCTCTGGACGTTGAGTAATTTTAGGTAACTTCATTTAAGTTCCGGGACCTTGTTTTAACTTCAGGGCACTTTGTTAAAGTTTAATGGACTTGGCATAGTTCAGTATTCAGCATAGAAGTTTAGCTAATTTTCTAGAAGTTTAGCGAATTACGTAGCCATTCGAGGAACTTCGTATAACATATAAAAAGTGCAGGGAATTTTATAAAGGTTAAAAGATCTTCATTGGAGCTCGGCAAACTATTTAACAGTTCAGCAAACTGCGTAGAAGTTCATAAAACTTCTTAGAACTTCAGTGTGTGTTTCAGGAACTTCCTGAAAATTTTGGAAACTTCGTTTCGCACAGATGTAAAACTAATAGAAAATATTCAGGGTCTTCTCGGAAGTTTGGAGATGTTTATGGATGTTCTAAGATATTGGTCGAATGAGACAGATTGGAAAAAAGCTAAGGGTTGTGTCCGAAGCACGACCGCATAATGCATTGATGTAGAACTACGTTATTGTACTGTTGTTGTACGTTATTGTATAATGCAATATACAATTAATTATGATTTTTTTTTTAATTAAGGTTATATTCAAAATTTAAAATTAATTGTCTTTTCTATTCAAAATAAGGTTCCAAATATATCCACTTAACTTCGAGTTACTCAATAATATTTATTTTTCAGATACCGGAACAACAATTTTTTAATTAAAATATATTTCATATAACAAACCAGTCTAAAAAACTTCAAAATGCGTCTCACACCGTATAACATTTGGATGTTGCAGCATTCTGGCAGATAAACTGAATCTCATTTGAGCTAACAGACTTTCTGTTTGTCTTTTATATGTGTTAAAAAAATCTATCAAATGGCAAACGCTGTCTTTCAATAAATTGAAAGTCACAACTCCCAACAGATGTTGATCAATCACCATTTTACAAGTAACGACGGTAGTCTCAAAATCGCAAATGAAATGAAAGTTTAAAACAAACGCAAAGTTCCAGTTGGGACGTAATAACTATGAAGAATATGGAAAAAATTATCGATATTATTACAAAAGAGACATGAGTTCCGAACTAAACTGTGCACCATCCAAAAGGTCTTGTCCATCTGAACAACTTTTCCAAAGACAGCAATGCCGCCTGGTGGGAAAATTCTCAACTAAACTGTTCATCTGCTGATAGCAACCTTCTATCTAATTAACCAGTAAAGTAAGTGCAAGTAATTAGAAGTCAAATCGTACACTCGCGCCGCCTGGTGTGAACTGATCCGTCCACTTTATAATAGGTGTAGTTCATCTGAAAAACTGTACTGAAAACATCAATCTAGTCGAGGTGTTGACTTAAGCTAACGATTAGAACCAAATGGCACTAGTGGTGAGTGAATTTTGAACTAAGATACCGATTATACGATAGGTCTTGTCATTCAGAACAACTTTACTGGAGACAGAAAACTTCTATCTAGTCGTTTTGTCAAGTTAAAGTGTCACTACACACTAGCGTCACCTGATTAGTGAATCGGATTTATTCTATTTATTCGAGGTCACATGTTAAAGCAAGCAATTAGAATCCTGATAAGCAATTAGGAATATATTAAACAATTAGAAGTTCAGCAAGTAATTTGAAAGCAAATTGCGAATTCTGAACTGAGCTGTTCATTATCCAACAGGCTTTATTCTTCTGAACACCATTGATGAGGACCTATCTAGTCGATATGATAAGTTAAAGCAAGCAATTATATGCCAAAAGCCGCCCCTTCTGAGGAAATTCTCGTCTGAACTGGAAACCATTCAATACGTCCATCTGAGAAACTTTGGCGAAAACAGCAATCAGCTATTTGGTCGGAGTGTTGATATTAGAACAAATCTAAGGCGTCTAACGATATGACAACCGTCACATCCACAGACGAACTGACATGAAACGTCAAGTACGATCTTTAATAACCTCGCTATCGGCTCGTATCTCGATAGTCATAGCAAGCAAGTACGTGATTTGATGATTACGGCCAAAATGTTTGATAAATGTTCAATAGTTGGTATATGATAAACTACTATAGAACAAATACCAAAGAAATCTTACTTCAAATCTAAATCAAATGGTATGATAAGATTTGAAATTCATCCATAAATGGCCAAGTTCTAAGGGTTTAAAACCTGACACTTTTCTGTGACACAATTTTCTGATTTGCACCCCAGTATATTCCACAAAGACTACGTCAAAATTCTATTATGGAACTTGGCAGAAGTTCGGGGAACCTCATAGAAGATGATAAAATGTTCTAGAAGTAAAGATGAAGGTAGTAGATCAGTGATGGCCAAAGTGCTTGGATCTCTATGATGCAACAACCTCAGCTTGAATTTCTGGCCGAAATGATTGGGAAATACGCAACATTCAATTTGAAATATGACCATCGAACAAGATACGGCTATTTAAAAATAGGGCTGTTGACCGTCGGCACCGTATTTGATCCAAATTCTCCATACAAAATTCATACTAAAAACGCCAATTTATCTTAGAACCAAATGAGCTAAAACTTTCGGATAATGGTTTCCATCTCCTAATGGCACAAATCTAGGGGTTGGCCAGTGGAAAATTAGAACTTTTATTTTTGTGGACCAGTCAATTATGTATTGTCCAATAAAAGTACGTTTTTGTTCTGTAAAGTAAGTAGTAAATCGTTAATAATGTGAATGATTTTGCACATATTTTTTGTAGGGTTAAAAAACAAATTTGGTTTACAACGCACCAAAACAAAAACTCTTATGTGTTAAATATATTACCACAGCTTTATGGCTGAAGTTTAATGAACCTATGTATTTTCAAATAGCTGCCCCTATATCTCTGGTCCGTACAAGTAAACTACACACGGTAGGGGTTCAACACCACAGTAAATGTCGCCAGCTTTGGCTTGACACCTGTCGACAATTCCATTTTCTCCTGTGATGTTTTCGTAGTGACGTCAATTCCGATGGCTGACTTTTCCTCAATGGTGGCGCCAACCGGTCAGATAGAGCAGTTAAGCGGTAGGTGTCCATCCTAACATAACAAGTAAAGTTATCAACAACAACAACAACAACAGACCTTTTTCAAACTTTGCACCCACCTCATACTCGCATAAAACCTTTCGTAGCATAGCACTTGCGCGCAGGCAAAACTAATTCCATCAATTATGAAAACCATAACCTCTGCCGGTGCCGGCCGTCCAGCTCTTCATGTCCTGGTCGAGATATGGTAGGTTGCAAAAATGTTGACATTCTGTTCAGTCTATCACACACATAGGAAACTTTTCCCTGGCTGTAGCGTCAACTCCAACTCAGACAACAATACACCAACGCTTCGAAATTTATCCAAAAATAGCACAAAAGCGGTTTGCCGAATGACGTCGACTCCGACGACGACGCGCTGGCAGCTATTGTAAAAGTTGGCAAACTTTTCCCCATCATACTCACAGAACATTCTGTTGCGCTTTGGAAAATACTCTTCCCAGTTGTCACACAATGACGCCAACGAAGAAAGATGTAGGCACCAGTCTACATCTAGAGTAGCAGCACTGCCGGATCAGTATTCAACGAATACCCGACGCGAAAAAAAAAGTTCCGTATCTTATCTGAATATTTAATATCACCCAGTAATGGAAACCGACCCGAGAATAATCAACTTCAGTACGGAACCGAATGAAATCTGGAAAAAAGTTACGACAATTCTCCGGAATCGATTTTCTAGACTGACTTGCCGGCACCGGTATTCAGCGGTGTGAAGTACACCGCAAATGTATCCGGTCACGATACCTAGTCATCCGCAACCAGCAAAACATAAAAAAAACTAGAGCAAACGATGGATGTTTTCGGTAAGATTTCGCTGTGGACATCAGAGCACACTGCAGGTTTCGGTTTTTGGGCATCTGCGACGAGGATGGTCGGACGGTGATTGGCAGATGACAATCA